GGATTCACTTTGGACGCGGATGTTATGAATCCGAATAGCCTCGGATAATCGCCCGGATCACTCGCTTCACTGAAGCGCAAAACGCACAGTGTAAAAACCTGACTTCCGAGTGAAGTGTGGAATCCGGCCAACAAAATAACGTCTGACGGCCGCTCAAGTGAAGCAGGAATTGATCAGCAATATTCAAAGTATATCAAGCCCGAGAAGCGATTGACAGACTAGGTACCAAACCATGAATTGACAAAAATCTGGCGCTAGGTTAAGAGAAGAAACGGCAGTCATGAAAAGAAATAAGCAAGATTTGCTTCTGATAATAATCTCGAAAATACTTTGGAAAGTTGATTTCTCAACAAGTTCCTTTTTTATGTGCTTACCCGTAGCTTCGCTTCCTTGGGTTCGACTATAGGAGGTTTACTGGGATTCCGCCCCGATCGGTTCGCCGAAGCGAATGAAGGCCGGCGTCTACCGCATCTTCCTGCAGCGTGGAATTTATGGCACTCAGTGATGGATTAGCAAGTGTCCAGTAACATATCTAGTGGGAGCGGTCGATGACTCATGCCTTGCTTTCATTGAGCTCATGTGCATTGGACATAAATGGTTGCGGTGCCGACTCCGTGTTTCATCATTTCCAAGGACATCACAAACTACTCATGCTCAGTGAGAGGTGGCAACAGCTTCGACCCATTCATTGTGTCAGCGTCTGTAATCCCGAGGGTCTACAGGCGCTCTAACACTGGGGCCTTGATGAATCTGTGCTAAGGATGGCAGATAGATGGATCGCTTTTCTGGACGGGGACAAAGTGCACAGCACACAGTGTGCGACTCATCAGTGCTACGGTTGGGGAAAAACCGTCGGGCGTCGCCACATTGGGAGTAGTTCGATACATAAACAAGAAAGTTTGTAGAAGTACATCAGTAGTCTCCTCCCAACTCGACTTCAGTAGCGCTCACTTAAAAGTATCGACAAAGCGTTCGGCTTGACCATTGAGTTGGGTGGTACCGCGGAGCCCGAACATGTTGGATGCTAAAACGGGACCAAAAGTCGGTAAATCGTGCTGAAGTGAACTGGATCGTATTAGCTGTAATAAGTACATCTGGCAATTCGTACTGGTTAGAGATCTTCCGAAGGAGGGAAATCTTGCTGGTTGTGAAAGCTGGGCTAAGTGCTACCACCTCGAACCACTTGGAGATACGACGCTCCATCGATTGGACCAAAGATGGATGAATTTGGCTTTGAAGTGGCAATGATTACTAGAGTTCTACGAAGTGGATACTCTAATACCAAGCTGGTAAGACCGGAGCAAATTCAAACGAATTACGGTCAAACATTCTTGTAGTCAGTCTGCGCGATAGTCATCTAAATAGTCTGCAAACCGCAGCGCGCATGTGAATCCCCATCTAAAAGGTCGAAAACTTTTATTCTTTCTGGAAATCAACCAAGAATATCAGAAGATGCAAGTTACTGTCTGATACCATCACTAAATGTATTCGCATCAGACTCACACATGCAACCAAGGAAAGGCACAAAAAGGACATGGTCAACCTGAGATTTGTAAGTAGCCGAGCGGTGGTGGACTCCACAAATAAGAGTACATTACCAGCTTTCGAGTTGCTGATGCCATCTACTTTCTTCTCGGTCCTACTTATGATCATCTGTGCCAGTAACGAGCTCAGTGGACTGCCAATTGCCACAGCATCTAGCTGTTGATACGCTGGCTTTTTAGTAGAAGTCGATATTCCCTGTGCATAAAAGAAGTGTGTTTTTCAAAGGTTTTGTAAGAAGCTGTCATTGGATGTCGTTTCCTATGCTAAACTCACAGAGATATTACACAGAATCCTTCAATGTAATTGGGCAACGAGGGACTGCATGCCGTTTTCTGATCGCGTGTATGCTTTGTAAGTAAGGGAGAACTTCGTAGGTGTATGATAGCACACGTTTTACTATGGATTTTTGTACCTGCTCTGGCATGCAGTTCGGCCTTTTAACGACGACATGGTATGGGTAGTTCAAGATGGCGATTATTGACAGTAGAGATATCCCTATATCGTGCACCTACGGCCGTTAACGGATTTGCGGGATATGGGTACCTCAGGCTGTAGTGTTCTATCTAGATCTTTCGAGATGAAATCAGGGAGGCTGTAAGATTTGCACTTCACAACACCAGTGCTCTTCGACCAAGCGGACTGCGTCTAACTGGGTATCTGGTGTGAATTTTTGGCTACCATACCGGTTACAACCTTAGGTAAGTAAGCTCGTCTGTTAAGGATGATCGCTCCGCACTCGTTCTTACACTTTAGTACAAATATTTATGTGATGTATTAGACCTCACGGATAGATTCATACGAATTTACAGCAAAACATTTCGTTTGTGCGGGCTCATTGAAAAAGCATGTCAATCTGGTTACCCGGACAAGTGAAATTCTTAGCTGGTGAGTCGGACTAATCGCGAAGTAGGGATGCTTCATGGAACCTAAGACATTTACTGAGCCTTGATCACCAAGCGTATTTCAGCGCATCATCGTTATTGATGGAGAGCGGTCGGTTAATAGTGATATTGAGTCTAGCACTGCAGAGCAAGGGGTACCAATCAGTTTTCACTTGACCAATACTCGACCTCACGTGGACTTGTCTCTCAAACCATTGGCGGGACCTTTGAATCCGCCGTCGCCTTTTCATTGAACATCATTTCATTTTACATACTGCGAATATATATGTATTCATGAGTAGGGGATTTTGATATAGATAATTGAGGTTTGTCATAGCCAGCTTTCAAATCAGATAGTCTTCCACATATCCGGAAAAGCACTAGACTGCAGTTTCAGCTTGTTGTGCATCTTCAGTAGTGCGCATCCAACGGATGCATCAGGATCCAGACCCATGACCCCCAGCGGCTTTAACTACCAGTCAGCAGCTTATGCCACTGGGCCAAGGAAGACAGCTTCGGACCGTCATGATTTACAAACCAACTGTGATCTAGCGCGTCTTATCCTCCGAGGATGCACACTACTGATGATGCCCAACAGGCTGAATCTGCTGTCTAGTGCATTTTCGAGCATGTGGACTACTATCTAATTTGGAATCTGGCTGCGAAGTGAAACAATTAATTATGCAAAATCACCTACTCATACGTACATCTAAATATATCCGCCCTACAATTTTCTAAATGCTCTGTCGTACATAGCTACTGTTAGTTGACTTCGTTACTTTCGGGGCCAACCCTGTCCTCTGCAACGTTCGTAACTTGCATGACAGTGGAGGATAAGGCGCGCTATGTCGCAGTTAGCTTTCTACTGCGTGTGTATGTTAATGTGTCATTCGTGGTGTATTACCTTGTTGATAAACCCCTAGAAAGAATCTTGTTCGCCAACTTTTGTTGCTGATAAGATTCTTACATTGAAACAGTAGAGTTTCAAACACACGGACACGAACTGCGTTAGGGAAATATGTTCATCAAGTGTGCGTGGTCACTTAGCGGTAGAATGACTTCATACATATTCTATGTACGTGGTCCAAGATGAACAGTGTAATCGCGCCCCCTGTTTGTTCGTTTTTTTAATAATCCCACTTTTGCTAGTTATTCTGATACCACTGGCCAAGCTTTCTGACAGTTCTACAACCTAGCAATTTGACTATGGTTTATGATAGTAACATTTGGGCTCAAAAGCCACACTAAGAGGTGACTGCCGTGGTTCGCAGATTGCATGAAGGCGCGTTGCTACATCGTTGACTGGATAACATTATGGTTAATCCATTTAGCCTATATCGAACGATAGGTGGTCCGTACCCGTCGGTAGTGAAGGTAAATCACAAGTGGTTTGCTGACGGAATGCGCTTCTAAGAAAGTAACCACTGTGACTTACGTAGATAAAGAAAGAAGAACTGAACCAGTTGTGTTTTCAATAGCAATGTATGAACTACAGGTTCACTCAACACAGTTCATCCATTTTTCTGGCTGCTGTCACTGTGGAAGTAATGCAATAGAAAACCGAACGGTACAGGAAACGGAAATGGCCCCTAGAGTTCAGCGTATGATTATACTCAGTAGGGCGTAAAACATGGGACTATGGAGCGAATACATTGCATTAAGCTAGAACAGTAATAATCAAACCGGATACTGCCAAACTATAATGGTAACTATGCCGGATTATCTTGAAATTGTATGTTTCCCAGAGGCAGACAGTTTCCAGATAAGCACGCGTGACGTACAACCCACGTTGGACAAGCCAGGAATGGCTCAACTTCCATAGTTGTATACTTCGACCATCCATTCGACGCTCCGTAATCTCTCCAGCGTTGCGTATGTCCTAAAATATTGCCGCCGTAACCATGCCTGCTTGCTCGTCCGGGATTTGGCAAACCGGTCACTCAGTCTCCATGCAAACAGACTTTGCTCACGTTGTGCATATCTTTTGGTTGATAAGAATGCATTACTGGAACTCCGTATAGTTCGAAAAATTAATCATGAGCTCGTATACTTTGAATCAGGCAATACGGCGCACCCGTTCTATACAACCGGCTATATTGCTGCCGTGATTGCCGCATTGCGCTGCTTGGTAGACTGCAGGTCAGATCTACTGGTAATGCGATTTCCAATAAACCCGGAGAGTGTAGAATGCTTGTAAGCGGTCCAACATACGTCTGCATCTTTTTCCCAAGGAAAAATTCCGCAGTTCGGATTCGCGGTCCCCATGAGAGCTCCTGACAAGACGTAGGTTGAAACATTGAAGTGGGTGGCTGTGTCAGTGAACATCACGACATATTTGAACAGCTCTTCAAGGCAACATTTTAGGATGATTACGCCGGGATGTTTGAAAGACATTCAGTCCATTTGCACACCGTCGCATATCCACCGGTTGTCTTCACCAGGGGTGTGACATGTCCGCCCAGTCATGCACCTACTGCGATTACGTAACCTCTCCTTTTTTGATCCAACGCGATGTCTTCAACAGGGATGTGAAAAAATCCTAAACTGAAGAGAGATGTTTCATTGGTCGAACTGATGCTTTCTGGCATTTTTCGAACCGGTCGGTTAGAATTACAAACTGTGGCTTGCATTGATGTCATGTTTCACGTAGCAGGGCATTATACGCCACGGGGATATGGTGTGTCAGAAATCGCAAAGACCGCATGGCTCCCGTTGGCCAAGCAATGGAGCATCGATAGAATCATTTTGCCAGGTGGCGTAGACCACCGGTGGACATGCGATGATGTGGAAATTGACTGCATCTCTTTCAAACAGCCCGGGCTAGTCATCCCAAGATGTTGCCTCGAAGAGCTCTTCAAGTATATCATGATGTTCATTGACGCAGCCACCCGCTTCAACGTTTCAAACTACATTGTGTCAGGCACTCTCATGGGGGCCGTGAAGATGAACAACGGGATTTTGCCTTGGGAAAAGGATGCAGACGTATGTTGGGACGTTTACAAGCATGCTACAGTCTCCGGTCTAATTGCAAATCACATCACCAGTATGTATGACGTGCAGTTTACCAAGCAGCGCAATGCGACAAAACACGGCACTGATATAGCCGGTTGTAGTAAAACGGGTGCGCCATATTTCACTACTTGGTAAACTGCACGTCATACCTAACAGTGATGTGATTTCCAATAAAACCCGAGACTGTATCATGCTTGTAAGCGTCCCAACGTATGTCGGCATCGTTCTCCCATGGCAAAATCCGTTGTTCACATTCACGGCCATCATGAGAGTGCCTGACGCGACGCACGTAAAAACGTTGAATCGGAAGGCTATGTCAATGTACATCATGATATACCTGAAGAGCTCTTCGAGGCAACATCTTGGGATGATTACGCCGAACTGTTTGAACGAGATTCAGTCGATTTGCACACCGTCGCATGTCCACCGGTGGTCTACGCCAACTGGCAAAATGATTCTATCGATGCTCCACAGCTTGGTCAACAGCAGCCATGCGATCTTTGCGATTTCTGACACACCACATCTCCGTGGTGTATGATGCCTGGCTACATGGAATATGACGTCAATGCATGCTACAGTTTGCAACTCTAACCGACCGGTTCGAAAAATGCCGGAAAGCATCAGTTCAACAAATGAAACAACTCCTTTCAGTTTGGAGTTTTTCATGGCTCTGTTGAAGACGTCGCGCCGGATCAAAAATGGAGAGGCTACGTAATCGCAGTAGGCGCTTGACTTGGCAGATATGTCGTGCCCCGGGCGAAGAATTAGACTGAAGTTGCGGATGGCTGACTGTACGGAAAAAAAGAATGTGGTATGTACCAATACGGTCAATTCTTCTATAAACAGTTCAAGGCATCATATGGCAAAACTACTCGCATTATGGATTCGATCAACCTCAAGCTAGCTGTGCTCAATCGGTTATTAAGCTACGATGTTCTGAATTTACTTTTACAACCAGTGATCACATGAACTACGTATCATGTGCAGTCGCACACGGGTTCTTCAGAAACGCGCAGCTATAGAGATTCGACAATGCTTTGCAAAGGCAACAGCAGTTTAATTCATACAAATTCACATACTGCCTTCGTTTTGTGTCGAGCATTAGCGTACGTAGAGCCCTCAAAGACAGCAGAAGACTCAGTGTATTTCCCCACCCAAATTCTACGATAATGGACAGTCAACAGATGAAACTGCAACCATGGTGAATGTACAGAAGTACACTTATCTGTCGGAATAGCTGTCATGCTGGATACGCGCCATAGCAAGGTAAAGAACAAAGGGCCAGTTCACTCCGATAGACCAATGCTGTTGACATTCAAAATAATACCTTTTAGAACGTGTCTAATCACGGCTGGTGCACCGTACTCCGACGGTATGATGTTTGGCGGTTTTGTCACACCTACACACACCAGACAGTAAACATTGTCATTTAGGCAGAGTTGTCAAACATGAATCTGTGTGTAGGCAGAAAGACAACACAGTAGCACACCAACATTTAATTTATTTACGAATTGAGAATGGGGCTAAGGGTGACTGTTGACGAGGTATAACACTTAGTTATCAACATGCCGTCAAATGAGAAATACCGTTTCTGGCCTGCACAACGTACGGGATACGTTGCGTTAAGGAGGCGGAACGCCACAGGAAAACCTGTGTGAATGAAACTTGACAGTGTCAGGCCAAGAAAGAGACTCGTCGGCGTAATCGTAGATTGACTAGCATCAAGTGCGGGAATGAGTGTTTTACAGCTTTGGGGGAACTAGCAATGCCGAGACGGCAGTGCTAGTGCCTTGTTTAGAAGTCGCTTAACTTACAAGGCAGTAGTGCATCCTACGTGTGGATCCAGTCTATCACGTCACAGTTTATTGCAAGTACTAATCGCAGTTTTTCTAGTGCGGACAGCATGCTCTACTCCGTCGATAGTGGAACCGAGGGTTGCACACTACTTAAGGTAGGGAGAAGAGACTGTTTATTACTTTACCGGACAAATGAGTGGATGTCTAATTTGAACTTGCTTCTAATAATCCGGAAATAATAGTGTTTATCCACATAGTTGAAGAAATATGAGTGCTAGTAACCCGTGTATCTCCCTACAAACGTCTGAACCCTTCTCTCCTATCTGTTGGTTCCTATAAGTGTCAGTGCATAAGATATTCATAAATTTACTCTTATTTTACAAAAATAGATCCTGTGCCAGTTTTACGCACAGCAACTTTGAACAGTTAGTTAATTAGGGATAGCAATAGTAGGGATATACCGGGAGCTTGGAATGCAGCAAACCACAGGTGGATAACTCCTGTACAACGCTGTGTTAATGCGTTTCGATAGCAGTGAAAGAAGTCATATCAGCCTCGCATATTATGCTTTAATGCTACAGAGAGCGGTCTCCTGGCTGGCCGTATGAAACGGTGTGGGTTGGCTGGTTCCGTTTAGCAAAAATTGCAGCAGGATATTGTCAACCATTAAAATAAAACATGTGGGTAGTTCTCCACTGCCTGATGGTAAGAAATACATTCAACTCTATTGCCGTTGCTTTGCAAAAGGTTGGTTGTCAGCTAAACCAACAAAAACATACATGTCTCATGCAGATTAATCGTTTGTATGCTCATTGCGACCCCATTAGATAATGGCCGCGAAAGGAACCATAGCTGTCAGCGTTCACCGTTTAACCTAAAGTTTTCCAATGAACACTTACAAACGATGTGCCTGCGAACCGTCGATGGTATCAGCAGTGTAACGTGTGCCACATACAGATAGGTATTTCACGATCCCACTGCGGGAGGGTATCATGCCATTTTCCACAGACTCTTGCGGGGCTGCACCAAAAGGACAATACCAATTTGGCATTGACGTGTATGCCCATGCGGACCACTCTTTCTCTCAGCTAGTTTCCGCTGCATCAAACACAGTCAAGGAACCCTGCAATAAGCAATGCCGAAGACTGCACTTGAATGTTGGTCCGTTTGGAAACGACAAGAAAGCCGGGATCGAAAAGGCGACTGGAGTCAGCCTGAGAAGCGCCAATGCAAAATATCGTACAGTTAGGTAGTCTTTTAGGAGAATGACACCACTAACTATGAGTTATCATTGTCGTCGAATTATGCGTCTGCTCCAACTTCGCTCTAGTGCCACTAGGATCTTCAGTCAGACTACCAACCATTCGCAATCTAGGTTGACGTCATGTTTTAATGGTTCAAAGGTGTTTTCCGGGCCTCATCGGCTCAGAAACAGCACGGCTTTTATGTAGCTCAGCGCTTGGTAAGACCCATGGGCAGAGTGTCTTTCTGAACAACGACTTCGAGCGCATTGTCAAAGGATGCAGACTTTGCGAGAGTAAAAAACGAATGTGACATAAAAATCCGGCGATTCGGAATACCAGCCAGGCAAACACACTTAGTAAAACACCTCCATTAACTGGTATTATGGGTACGTCGTGGGTGCCGTCTACCAACTTGGACCACAGTGGAGGCGTTTTTGGAGCACACATCGAAAATCATCGTCCGAACACCAACCACTCAGTTGATGATAGTATTTATGTATGTATTAAAACAACACTGCAATTCGTTGAGACTAAATGTATAAAGTCCAAGCCAACTGGTTGCCTCTGCACTAATCTCCTTTCGTGAAGGTGTTTACGTACCTCAAACGCTCGATTGATTCCCAGTGAATCAACACAGCTTGATACTGCGGCCTGCAACTATGTATCTTGGTCTACCGGCCCGATGGAAAAATATCAGATACATATCGAATGTCATAAAAGATGGTGTTTGCTAAACTACTGATTTAATCTCTGCGTAAACTGTGCATGATTTGAACTACTCTAAATGTCAAGAGCTGCTGCAGGTGAACCATTAACTACTTTTGGAAATTGACTTTCGCGACCGCTCTGTAAACCAGCTTTGTAGATTGATACTTTTACAATTGAACAGAAGGAAAGCGGAAGAATTGAGCCAATTTAATGGCAGACAGCCCACTGCCCTGTCAACATTTTCTCCAAACTCGTAAATTATGTCCATGGTAAAAACAGAAAGCCAAGTTGCGAAGAGGGGCTCTCTTTTCGATAACTATCATCAGGTAGTAAAGTTACAATGAATAAATCAACTAAGTGTGCTACTAGAAGCAATACTAAGGTTAATAAAGTAAGTGCTTTGAAACAGCTGGTGTTTTCTCCACCTTGGAAAGCATCTTGCTGAACGCCCCAAGAGCAATCTACACCACCTAACTTATTGAGCATTCTTTTCATGATGATACGATCACGCCTCACATGATCAAGTTCTAGTTTCGGGACAAAATCGAAAGCGGTTAACCATGGGTTGACACAGCTGAATCGTGGCATAACTTACGCTTTCATGTTGGTGATGTAGGTCTAAGCCATAAGGCTGCAGGAGGGATCAGGAACTATCCAATGCTAGATCAAATGCGCAAACTAACCTACTCAGACATATACTTTTGTTCAAGATGTCGTCGCTAACAACCAGAATGGGATTTGATAATAGTGAACGACCTGTACAAGTTCCATCGGGATTTAGTGGCAACGCAAATGCCAAGTGTTCCAGAAGCCATATGGAAACGATTGAATTGACTACATGTG